GGGAGCCCGATGCGGGGCTCGATCCCAGGACCCTGGGATCACGACCTGAGCCGAAGGCAGACGCTTAACGACTGAGCCACCCAGGTGCCCCAATCTTAAAAAAATTTTTAAGAGCAAAGCATTCCTGCTAAAATGTTATCAAGATCCTCTTCCTCACTTTTTCTGAACTTCAATCCATGATGAAATTTTAATGAAATTAATGTATAGTGTTTAAAATAAAATAGTAGGGCGCCTGGGTGGCTCAGTTGGTTAAGCGACTGCCTTCGGCTCAGGTCATGATCCTGGAGTCCCGGGATCGAGTCCCGCATTGGGCTCCCTGCTCGGCAGGGAGTCTGCTTCTCCCGCTGGCCCTCCCCCCTCTCATGCTCTCTCTATCTCATTCTCTCTCTCATAAATGAATAAATAAAATCTTTAAAAAAATAAATAAATAAAATAAAATAAAAGCAAAGACTATTTCTACTCAAAGCAAGTATCTGTATGATGCAGTACTTATTTGGAAGAATGAATGATGAATAGGAATTGGATATATCTCTTATTTGGCCACTTATATATACTTAGGTTTGTCACATCTTTTCAAAGTAAGGAAAAGACCCTTTGATTAATAAACCCAAGTGTTGGGGTGCCTGGGTGGCTCAGTCGGTTAAGCATCTGCCTCAGCTCAGGCCATGATCCCAGCGTCCTGGAATTGAGTCCCGCATCGGGCTCTCTGCTCCTCAGGGAACCTGCCTCTCCCTCTGTCTGCTGCTTCCCCTGCTTGTGTTCTCTCTGTCTCTGTCAAATAAATAAATAAAATCTTAAAAAAAATAAAGTGTTTTTCTATCCATCAAAAGTCATCATAGTTGCTGACTAGCTAAATGGTTACATAAAGGTTGTACCACCATCAATACTTTAATGCAACATAATTTTTGTCATGTCCCTGAAAGTGATAAAACATTTACTGTGAATACATGTATTCAACTTCTAAAATATATTAACAAATTCAAGACTTACCTTCCAAGCATGGTAAGTACCAGAGGGATCAGTCTGATATAATCTTGGGATACCATCGTCATCAAAACCTACAATTAAGGCAGAAATGCCAAAAGGCCTTCGTCCATTGCTTTGTGTATATTTCTGAAAAATAAAATGTTTTTATAACTACTTTCTGTATGAGGCCATACAAAGAATAGTACTATTATTTATCAACTAAGAAATTTTAATAGCAGGGGCGCCTGGGTGGCTCAGTTAGTTGAGTGTTTGCTTTCGGCTCAGGTTATGATCTCGGGGTCCTGGGATCGAGCCCCCCATGTAGGGCTCCCTGCTCAGTGAGGAGTCTGCTTCTTCCTCTCCCTCTGCCCCCTGCCCGCCTGTGCTCTCTCTCCCTCAAATAAATAATCTTAAAAAAAAAATTTTTTTTAAAGATTTTATTTATTTATTT